AGAGCACCAACTGTGCCGGCCGGTGGTGGCGCATGCCTTTAATCCCAGCATTTGGGAGACAGAGGCAGGCAGATTTCTGAGTTCGAGGCCAGCCTGGTCTATAGAGTGAGTTCCAGGACAGCCAGGGCTACACAGAGAAACCCTGTCTCGAAAAACAAAAACAAAACAACAACAAAAAAAGAGCACCAACTGCTCTTCCAGAAGTCCTGAGTTCAATTTCCAGGAACCACATGGTGGCTCACAACCATCTATAATGGAATCTGATGCCCTCTTCAGATGTTTCAGGGGCAGCTTACTCATATACATAAAATAAATAAATTTGTGTATACTCATACACATAAAATAAACATTTAAAAAGGAAAAGAAAAGCTGTAACTATTAAGGGTCACAAAGGTGCGGTTGCACACATCTGTAACCCCAGAATTTATGGGGTAGGAAGATCAAAGTCTAAGGCCATCCTCAACCACATAAGGAGATCATGAACTCCCGAAAGCTTTTGCAATCTTATTGCAAAATAAAAACGAGAACACTGAAACTGTGGCTTATTTATGATTAACACAGATGGAACAGAGTAGTTTGTCGTTCCTTTGGCTCATGAGTCAAAGTTGTATAAGACAAAACTACTGCTGGTGGGAAGTGCAGCATGGGTCCAGTCCGTGGTTCCACATCACAAGAGATTCTTGCATCTCCTTGATGGAGAAGTGGTTCCTGGGTGGGATATTATTTTGCATGGGATGGCTTACTCATGAATGTGACTTTCTGTTAGCTCCCCTAATGGTGCTGCTGCTGGGTGCCTGCAGAGAGGGAAGGCAGACCCTCGCCTTGAATAACTAACCATAACTTTGACAAGAGAATGTCAATACAAAGAATTCCTAAGTATGACAGGGGATTTGGGGTAGAGGGTTGACAAGAAGTATATAGAACCTTGAAGCATATGTAAAGAATAGCCAGCAGTACAGGAGGACTGAGATGAAGCATTCCCCTACTGGACACACTCAGGTCTAACAGAGTGGTCACCACTGTGGTTCCATGCAAGGCAGAGAAGTAACTGTGTTGTACTGCTTATAGAACTTTCTAGAATTCCATTTTAGTGTGCTAAGGAAAACAGAATGTGCACAATGTCTCACCAGAGGACTCTGCTGCACTACCCTATGGAGGTGCAGGGCAAGCTTAGTACTTGTTGGTCCTGTGGAAGTGGCTTGCCCCTCTGCATTGAGAAGCCAAGCCCACCTCCTCTTATGTCTGCAGTTCTCAATTTGTGGTCAGGGGTGTCAAAAAAAATTGTATTTCTGATAGTTTTAGAAACCCCCCCATCCATGAGATTATTTTCATTGCTACTTTGTAGCTATAATTTTGCTACTGAGCCATGTTGAGAAACACTGCCCTACATCATCTCTGTCATCTCCCACTACATACTGAGTTCCACTTTGTACAGCCTTGTGTTGTGGGAATCAGGCTACCAGGGTCACTTTCACTTCCCTCTATTGCTCTGCCCACTATTCCGGTTCTAGGCTGTCACTGACTGTTCTGTGGCCTGCAGCCTCTTCCATGCTGATGTCTTGGAGTGGGTGGATAAGAATTACTGTGGGATATAGAAGTAACACTTTGTTGCCACTGATCTTCGTTACCTCTTACCTTAGCCTAGTTTCTGTGCCAAATGATCTGGTGTTGCTGGCCACTATTCAGGAATCTATGTGCACTCTACCCAGGTTGTTTTGTGTCCACAGCTACCACATGGCTCTACCCTAGACCGTGAAACAGCTATTACCATTCGGGTGCTCCTTCAAGAGCTCTGTCGTGTGACTGCCACACCCCAATAGAGTCTGTGTGACGGGGCAAAAGCCTGGCACACTCACCTGAGGCGACGACTTCAAGGAAGTCAGTCTCCTGGAGAGGTTGGCTATCCTCTCAGAAGGATATGTTTTTCACGAATCGTGGCTGCCATGTTTGGAACATCTTTTCTTGCTATCTCATTTCTACTCTGTGTACTTTTCGCTCAGGGCACGTCCTGCCCTACTATCCTCCCATGGACAAAGAAAAATGACAGAAAGTGCAGTAGAGGTAACCACTAACCCTATTCTAGACTTAGCCTTTCTGTGGAAAAATATCACCATTGATCCTACGGAACAGGGACTTTTGACTGAACTACAGCAGTAAGAATTCTTTTACCAGAATCCCCTGTAAAGAGATATAGCCTGTAAGAGTGGGGATGGTTAGACAGGAAATTATTCCAGTCACTGACTCTTATGGGTTTCTTTTAAAAGACCCTGAAAACTCTAAAAAGAAAGGGTTTTATCACATTCCTAAGGATTCGTGGATGGCAGATAGCATGGTTTATAGCAGGGAGATGGTGGTTTCCCCCTGTAAACAGGATGGAGCCACAACGCGCTCCCCCTGATCCTTTGCCATATTCAGGAGTCTATGATGAATCTGGGAATTGATGGGTCAATCACAATGGAGAAAAGGTATCATATTATTCACTCCCATTTATGGAGAAATTGGCACAATCACAACCCCCATGGTGTTTATTATTTAAAGAGAATAGAGATAGTATCATTAGATAGTTACAAAAGCCCCTAAGTAGAGTTAGTATTAAAATTAAATATATTAGAGGAAATTGGGAAGAAGCCTAGGGAATAAAAGATGTTAACGAATAAGATTACATTAATAAATGAGAAGACCCCAGACATAATGTACATTAAGAAGCCCATATATGATGAATCTAATTGGGCAGCTCACAAAGCAACAAGAAGAAAGTTACAGTATACTCTCAGATAAGTTAACTGCTGACCACAAGTACCACTGGGTGGCTTGCTAACTTGGCTACTATCTCGAACATTAGAGATAACATCAACTTCATATGTGCCTTGCAAATGAATAGTTTATTGATTTCTTAGAGTTGGGTCCAATTTATGAGTATCTAATAAGAATATTGTAAGAGGGGCTGGAGAGATGGCTCAGTGGTTAAGAGCACTGACTGTACTTCCAGAGGTCCTGAGTTCAAATCCCAGCAACCACATGGTGGCTCACAACCATCTGTAATGAGATCTGATGCCCTCTTCTGGTGTGTTTGAAGACAGCTACAGTGTATTCATATATAATAAATAAATAAATCTTTAAAAAAAAAGAATATTGTAAGAATGTTCCTGAGAACCTTTGTCCTTTCTGTTCCTGTGTATATACAACATTGATATTCTCTTTGCTTTATGATTATAAAAGTCTGGTGCTTGAATAGTAAAATCGAACTCAGATCCAAGACCACCTTGCATCTGTGTCTGTTTGTCATTCCTTGTCCACCTGAAGCCAGTCCCCCTGGGTTGCCTCAACGGTCCGTGGCACGTGATTAAATGCAGAAACCACTTTGTCTAGGCAAGTCCTTCTTGGGATCCAAAATATGGCTGCAAAGCTTCAACTTGAGCTTTAGATTCTTCTTTCCATTTTTCTTCTGCACTCGTCCTTGACTAGGTCTAAACCAACCACAATCCAGAGCTAGGTCTAACTAACTAGGTATGCTAGTTGGGAATCTAGCTCGATGGCAGAGTGCCTTTTGTCTTACCAGCAAGACTCTACAGTTGTAGCCAAGATGCTTTATATGTAGATGCTAGTCCTTGAGCACCATCTCTTGAGTTGAATGAGCACAGTGTGCAGACACTGTCCCCACCCTCTTGGGTACCGAAGCTGTCAGTCTTGATTGAATTCCTGGATGAGGGGACTAACTCCTTATTCCTTGATCTAACTGGGTTCTGCCATCTCTTTCAACCTGCAGCCTCCAAACTTGCCTTTCTTAGAGGTTGTCAATTTACTAATATAAAACACCGTGAGTCCCTCCTGATTGAAAACATGTGATGAGATTTCCAACATTAACCTCTCTGCCATTCTTAGCATCTGTCCGTTGATCATATTTACTCCTTTCTGTCCACCTTTATTCTTTTCTGTGCATCCCGCAGAGCTCTGTGCGGATTCCCATATTTCCATAAATTAAACAGTTTATAGAGTCCACTGATGTCCAGCTTCCCAGGTCCTAACTTACTCGTGAGACTCTGAGACAACTGAGGGGCTTGGCAAGCAGACCAAGTTCACTATCCAGCTATAGCTAGCTGAAACAGCAGAGCTCTAGGTTCAGTGAAAGATTTTGTTTGGTTCCAGCTAAAAAGCAAAGAAAGCCGGGCTGTAGTGGCGCACGCCTTTAATCCCAGCACTTGGGAGGCAGAGGCAGGCAGATTTTGAGTTCAAGAGTTCGAGGCCAGCCTGGTCTACAGAGTGAGTTCCAGGACAGCCAGGACTACACAGAGAAACCCTGTCTCGAAAAACCAAAAACAAAAAAGCAAAACAAAACTGGAAACAACAGAGGATGCTCGTCCAAATAAAATTAAAATCTAGTTGCCACACGTCAACCGCGCGCGCACACTGGAGGAGGGGGAATGGAGCAAAAGGTGGAGAATTGGAGCAAGAGGTGGAGAATTGATTGTTTTAGAACTTTGGCAGAGAGTCGCCTTTGTTCCCTGAGGCACTTTATGGGTCAGAAAACCCTACATTCTCCCCCTTTAGAATCCTATCGGCCTACAAGGATAGTGGGCTACCATGAGTGATCAGTTTAATTTTAAAGCTAAGACGCAAAGATACTACTAAATTTCCTGTTAAGCTCCGTACTAGCAGAAAGTAACAGGTACGAGTCACCCAGGTAAAACGAACTGAAGAAACAAGAGTTAAGGAAAGTCCACTGTAAAACCCTTCATTTAACCAACATAATTCCCTAGAGGGAGTGCACCGTTCCTGGAGGTACTGCAATACCAGGTCGATGC